TGGGTTCATGCCATTCTCCTGCCTCAGCCTCCCAAGTAGCTGGGACTACAGGTGCCCGCCACCACACCCGGCTAATTTTTTTGTATTTTTAGTAGAGATGAGGTTTCACAGTGTTAGCCAGGATGGTCTCGATCTCCTGACCTTGTGATCTACCTGCCTTGGCCTCCCAAAGTGGGACATTTTTAAAACATCTTCAAAACTGCAATACAAATAAAGTGAGATATTTCTCTGCATACATTTTATTTCTAATGCATTACCACATACCGGTGCATTTTGGGACACCATACAGTTCTCTAAAGGTTGTTTTATATTTATTTGTAGTTTAATACTTCTGAAGGTTAATTATCCCATCAGACATTAAGATGGTTGCTGCCACACCTTATGATGGTCTTCTTGGGAAGCAGACAGTAGAGCATGATATTTTAATTTCAAGATTCCTATTATGTAATGTCTTTAAAAATATCTTATGTTTAATGTTAGTGGTAAAAACACAGTGCCTTTAACTAAAGAAATGTCTTCCTATAGATGAGACTGACTGAAGGCCTTAAGAAGGAAAGGATGTGTTATCATGACCTCCCACCATTAGCAAGGATGAATAACACCTTGATTTTTAATCTAGTCATCTGAGGAAAAGATACAAAAGATGTAGTCATGGACTGCCCTTGGATAATCTAAGAGACAAAAAACATAATACTCTAGAAGAGCAGAGGAAAGTTATAATTGAATGTAACAAACAATAATGACCTCCTGTTGAGTGCTAGGCACTGAGCAAATGTGAGTGACAGTTTCTGCCTTTGAGTGATTTGCAATCTATTGATAGATTCATAACACTAGCTACACTCTATTATGGCTATTGATTATGGAGCCATAGTTAAAGTAATTTGAATGCAAATGAAGCAGCAATTCAGCCTGAGAAAGGAAAGGGCTGGGTGAAGTTCCAGAGAAAAGGTGGCATTTTAGAGGAATATAATAAAGGATGACTAGAACATGGCAGACCTGAAGTAGGAAAGGAGTGCTGGGAGCAGAGAGAACAGTTTTCATTGCTGCAGGAGGAGTAAGCAGGCCACTGTTCCAGCACACAGGACACCGTGGTGGGGAGCCTGCAGGAGGCTGGTGGGAACAGCAGTCACCCAAGCCCATGGGAGATCCTGGGTTCAAGCCAGGAGTCGTGGACTTGGTTCTGCAGGTGCAGAGGAGTAACCTGATCACACGTGTGTTCTGGAGAAATAACTCATCTCTCGCGAGAGTGGGGTGGATTGCTTGAAATAAGGAGAAACTGGAGACGAGGACACCCCGTGAGCTGCCTTTTCAGCAGTGAGAAAGAAACAGCAGGAAAGCGCAGGCAGCACACAGAAGGCCGAGCAGTGGGGTGGCACCAGGAACACTGCCATTTCTCACCCTTTTCTCCCCTTTACCAATTTCTGTAGGTAGCCAAGGTGCTTTGGTGGTACTACTTCTCCAAATCAGTAGAGTTCCTGGACACGATTTTCTTTGTTTTGCGGAAAAAAACGAGTCAGATTACTTTTCTTCATGTATATCATCATGCTTCTATGTTTAACATCTGGTGGTGTGTCTTGAACTGGATACCTTGTGGACAAAGTAAGTTATTTTGTTAATTCTTCTGTTTTGAGGAATAGCTCTTAGAGACCACTGGTGCTGTCTTGTATTGAGCATTGCATGCAGATCAGAAGAGCATGAAGGGAGGCCTAGAGCACTGGCCTCGCCCCAGCAGGATGCCCGTGTCTGCCAGGGGCCGTGTATTCTAGTGTCTGGTCTTTGATACAGGCAAAATCTGGGCCGAACCTTAAATTTAAAACTGTTTTCTTTTCCACGCATCATATGTCCCATGGTCAGAGGCACATACCCCAGCGGGAGCTGCTTCACTCCAATCCCAGGTGCTGTTCGACTCCTGTGGAAATATATCACCTTCCACAGTCACCACTTTCCCGTGAAACAGATTGAGGCATTTCAACTTTTAGCGTTGCTTGTTTTCGCATTCTGAAAAATTAAGGTTACATCTCTGAATGACCTACCAGATTTTCCTTTTTTTTAAAACTGAGAATCACAATAAGAAATATATTTTATATCACAACCCAGTGCAATCATTCATATTTGTTCATTTTCTTCTTCTTCTTTTTTTTTTTGAGATGGAATTTCACTCTTCTTGCCCAGGCTGGAGTGCAGTGGCGCAATCTCAGCTCACTGCAACCTCTGCCTCCTGGGCTCAAGCGATTTTCCTGCCTCAGCCTCCTGAATAGCTGGGATTACAGGTGCCCGCCACCACGCCCAGCTAATTTTTTGTATTTTT